ACAATAACATAAACACTTTCTGATCGATAAACTTCTCAGTTCTCATTTTATGATGAGTGGGAGGACACACACAGGGAGGGTTAGGACAGAGAATTACCATATTTTTTCTAGAATCCATCTATTGCTCCTGGCTCCCTCAGCAGATTAACTTTAAGCTTCGCACATGTCTTATCTTCCTCTTAACACCAACCCTTGACATTTGCTTAGCCTCTTAGAATTTTCCTGTATCATCAGTGAAGATTGTGGAGACAAACCCTAAAAGATTCAAGTTGAGTTTCTGCTGCTCACAGGAATCAAGGTTCAAAACAGAAATTAAGGGTAGGCCTTTGGCGCAGTGGCTAAGGCACTGCTTGGGACACGTACATCCCATATCGGAGTGCCTGACTTCGAGCCCCAGCTCTGCTCTTGATTCCAGCCTCCTGCTCATCCACACCTTGGGGGACAGTAGGTGATGGCCCAAGTACTGGGTCTCTGCCACCCATGTGGGAGGCCTGGATTGAGTTCCCAGCTCCTGACTTCAGTGTGGCCCAGCACTGGCTGTTGCAGGCATTTGGAGGAGTGAATCGGCAGATGGAAGATCTCTGTGTCTCTCTGCTTTTCAAATAAAAAGAAATATTTTTTAAAAACCTAGAAATTAATTTTGGCTATAGAAAAACATGGACAACCTATTTCTTTTACTATGTAAACAAAGATCTCTAGGTGGTACTCTGTTACACTGACCTACCTACCTATTGGGGCGTTTGGTTTTTTTGGGGAGATAACATATGCCACACTGTTTGGGAGGGGAAGTGGATTCGATGTGTAATCAGGGCCAGAGCAAGTCCCCCTTCTTCGTTCACACCTCCCCTTTTAGCCAGGCACTCAGAATTGCCGAAGGGGAGACAAAGGCCTAAATCCTTTTCTCCCTCTCCAATTTTAGGGCCTTGTCACCCTCAGGAGGATTACTGCATTCTGATACCTGAACTGTCAGTATTGTTGAGATTATGCTTATGTAAATAATTAGAGCTTTTGTCATCATGGATGAAATTTTATGTTTCCTAGTGCTGTTCTTCCTTAAGAACCCAGTTTCTATTTTGTAACAGGAATTGGTTGGGTAATTGAGGCTAATAGGCAGAATTTAGCTTTTTTTTCTTTGCAGAGCTGATCTTAAGGAGGGGGATGTTTTGGAGGCTGGGGCCATCAGAAGGGTCATTTGATTTTTTTCAGTATCATTTGATTTTTGCAAGGAAAAAATACATTTTTCTTCTCAGTAGTACATATTCCCTCAAATGGATGGGATTGGACATTACATGTAGAGGTGAAAATATGGAATCTTGGCAGGATTGCAGAGACTGCATTAAAAGAAGTGGCTTAATTAGAATTCGTGTGATGGGGACCTGTGGGCAAATGACCCTACTCTCTTTGTGAGCTGGGAATGATACTGTCTATTGTACAGAGCTTTTGTGCAGGTTCTATTAAGTGATATATAGGATAGTTATATCTAAGTGCTGTATAAATGTAAGGCATTATTATCAGGCAGCTAAGCAAACTTAAAAGCTTTAATAAAACCTATCCTTTACTACCAACCATAAGAAGACATTCTTCTACCAATGTGCAAACAAGACATATTCACCGTTAAAACTTAACTTTTTGAGACTAAATGGCTCAGGAAGCAATAAAGATGATCTAATATGTCAAGGGAGATGTTTCACAAAAGGGATAAGTATATTATAGGAAGAAGTAGGTGACAATCCACTTCTTTTAAAGAGCCATATCTATTCATAGCATATTTGGAAAAGTATTGAATTTGGGAATATGAAACCTACAAAGGAACTCTAAAGAATCAGGGTGTCATTCGGTACAAATGTTTAGTCAGGCAATCTGAGATTAATAGCGGGACATGAAGTCATGGCAGCCGTGATGGAAGGGGCTGTGTTTGTCTTTTTTATCTCTGCATCCCCTTACTTTGATCTATGCCTCCAGAGCAGGTTTTAAAATGGGTTTTTCAGAATGAGTGTAAAAGTTAGAGAATATTACTGAGGGGCAATGGCTCAACCAGCTGAAATTAATATCTGAATTGTGCAAACAAAAGATAAACACTTGCTGGTTCAGGTTTATGAAATAAAAATCTGAAGTAATAACTGCACGCAGAGGCTTTAGCTCCTTTGTTCCAAAAATTTTGACAATCCGAAGACTAGTAGTCAACCAAACTTAGAGTGAAAGAAAATGAGTTTTTCACTGCAGAACTTTGTTAGCTTTGGGATGGCAAAGAGGTCAATGTTATTCTGTTGCTGAGAACTGCTGGCAGCATTCTCACAGCAATTCTAAGGTTGCATCTAGGAGATCCATGACAGAGTGCGTTAGTTGATTAATGATATCTGCCCTGGGTTAGAGTCAAGGATTGTGGCCAAACAGCCCTTAGAAAGCTCTTAGAAGGGATTTTCTCTTTTTAAAAAGTGGCTCCTACATGGGTGGCAGATGCTCAAGTAACCGGGCCATCTTCTGCTTTAGTAGGGAGTTGGATCAGAACTGGAGCAGCTGGGACTTGATCTGGTGCTTATATGGGATGCAGGCATTGCAAGTAGCAGCTTAACCCACTGTGCTGTAACGCATGCCCCTAGTTATTTATTTTAAAGGCAGAGAGAAGAGAGATTGATCTATCATCTGCTGGTTCCCTCTCCAAATTCCTGTAATAGCAAGGGTTGGGCCAGATGGGAGCCTGGGAGTCCAGAACTCAATCTGAGTCCCTCATGTTTGTGGTAGACACCCAACTACTTGAGCCATCACCTGCCGCCTCCCAGGGTGCACCTTAACAAGAGGCTGCAATCAGGAACAGGTAGGACTCACATCCAGACACTCTGATGTGGGATGTGAGTATCTCAACAGTTAGGCCTGAATCTTCCCCAGAGTTTTCATCTTGAAGGTTGAATTTGTAAACAACTTCTTATCTTCCTTTCTGATAAAACCCCATGATTATTATGGGACACGGTGTATTTTAGTGACTAAAATTGGGAGGAACTTGGGAAAGGCAATGCAAAATTGACAGGAACTGAACCTCTCAGAGCTCATCAGACACACAAGTGCTCACCTGCATTTCGGAGCCTCTTGGGTTTCTAGTTTGGGGTTGTGTGACTGCATTCTACCTGACAGGGTTACCTTGGCGCGGTGTGCTGCAGACGGCATTGCTATGAGAGGAAGAAAGGCCCACCTCTAGAGCTACCCTGAACTTTGCCAGAGTGAGAAATAAACCGTATGGAGTTTTGGATTGTGGCCATTGTGGCTGTTAGGATTAGTTACTCTAATATATACATACTGGTAATTATTTCGGGGTGTGGTTTGTTTTGGTGCTAGGAAAGGGTTTCCCCTATCTGAATGCTTGCAGGACTCAGCTTCTTGACTATCACACTGCATTTTCTATGTTACCATTGGGTTAGGGAACTTTCCCAGTGTCCTACAGATTCTGGTGGCTCTGTCTTTGCCTCAGAGGTGCTGTAACCCTGCAGGTGGTACAGAGTTAGGGTTGGGGGTGTGTGTGCAGGGACTTGACTCTAGAGCATTGTGCATACTATTTGTACAATGCATGTGTCCTTCAAAAAGTAAATAAATATATGTATTCAAAATTGTTTATTTATTAGAGAGAGAGAGAGAGCTGACAGGTGAGCGAGAGGGACAGTTCATTCCCATTTGCTGGTTTACTCTCTAAATGGCAGCCAGTGGCTGGGACTGGACAGAGTTGAAGTCAGTGGTCAGTAGTTGAGTCTGAGTCTCAACTTCCTGAGCTATCAGTACTGACCCCCAGAGACTTCATTAGCAGGAAGCTGGAGTTAGGACACAGAGCTGGGACTCCAACCCAGGCACTCCAGTATGGGATATGGGTGTCTTAACTCTTGGCTTAACCACCAAGCCAAATGCTGGCCCCCATAATATATATTTTTGATCACATAATTTCCTTCTGTGGGTTTCTGCTTCTGACCCAGCTGACTTTAAACTTAATGTCAGAAGTGAAAATCCAAACCAAACCAAACCAAACCAAAACAAAAAGTTAGCTTCCATGGCTTTCAAGGTCCTTGTGTTCGATGCTATGTGACCAGTTACATTGCTTATTCATCCCTCTCTTTCCTCTTGGCCTCGCTGTTCTTTTGGATTTCTTGTCTAGTTACATCAATCCCAGTTATTCCTAAGCCTCTCCAGCCCCTCCACCCAGGCAGAACACTGTCATCTTCCTACAACGCTTCCCTCAGCACCACTCTGCAGACTTCTTCCCGTGGGTACCACCATTATGGGCTTATGACCTCACTTCCTCCTGAACCAGGAGCTCCCATGGAGGAGGGAAATGCGTCCCCATATGGCTTACTGTCGAATATTCCAGCGCACGCAGGGGGGTACCCACTATACAGGGAACCAAAGAATGAACAAAGGAAAATCTCCTTTGCAAAGCAATGAATTCTCTCAGTTAAAAAGTTATGAAACGGCCTCTGTAGAAAGGGGAGGCAGCTGAAAAGAGAACAAGCATGTAAAATATTACAGCTTTGAATATGCTAACAACATTTTATTTACTCATAGTATCAGATGGTTGGAAGAACTTGCTTCTGATTTCCATCTGATGTGGCTCTTGCTTTTTCTTTTGTTAAATCACAGATCCACGGACAGTTGTTTTCATGGGAGCGAAATAAACGATGGAGATTTGGGAGGAGCAAAAATATAGAACTGTCCTTTTTTATCTAAAGCAATTACCATGAGGATAAATAGCTTTCTTCTTAATACAGCCGCACCATAAATTACAGTGGAATTCTTCCTGTCCCAGCAGTAAGAAGTGTGCAGAGCAGTACCAGCGATGCGTCTTGCTGGCTGGGAGAAACTGTTGTTTACAAGCTAATTATTATAACAAGTCGGCTTTCCTTAGCTGTCTGAGAGGTTAGAACAGCAGATTCAGAAAGATAAAGTATGTCAGTGTGTATATTTAAAAAAAAATCTCTGTGCTAGCAAATGATGGTTTGGGAGAATTGAAAAAAAAAACAAGGTAGAAAAAAACCCAGTTTATTAAGGAATATCATATAAATAACTTGTTACAAAAATTGATTTGCAAAAGGCATATTTACTCTGTGAGAAATCACTTTTTCAATTGCATTCTTTTTAAATTTATAAGTCTAAGAAAACAAAGCAAAATAAAAGAAGCCATTTCAAGAAATGCGCATTTGCCATTTGACTACAACAGAAGGCCTGGCCACACAGAGCTGAAGGTAACTGTGGTGACCCCAGTCTTCTAATACGGAGACATTTTCATGGAAGCTGTGAAGTGTGGAGAGTCTCCCTAACTGGAAATGTGCATGGCGGCTCAGCAGGAAGCATTTTCCACCAGGCATCTCGTTGCCAAAGACATGAGCAACACTGAGAAAAACGACATGAACGAGGCACCCCGGTCGGTACATCTTCAAGGGTGGCATCAGGTTCAACTCATACATGAAAGTGTTTTTAATTAAAAACAATCAATACCAAAAAGCTTTTATTTTCTGGGTTGAAAAATCACAAGTCACAGTAGGAGAATGCCAAGTTGCCTTAGCTCAGTACTACTGAAGACACACATAGCATTTATTATAAGGCCTATCTTTACTCTCAAAGTGATGAAATAATCACAAACAAAACAGTGCAGTGAGTTTGAAGTGTTCCTGTGTTTCTTTTGAGCAGTTCCATTGTACATTTGCTACACAGCATTCCTCCTGAATGCGTAATAAGTCTATACATTTGATCCTTTAATAAACACTAAACTAATAGATCATAGGAAACTAAAAGCTTACAGAAGACATATTTACATAAATAGCATAGTCTCACAAGAAAGACCAAGGTCTCATTATAGTGGAATGCTTTTTCCACAACGCTAGGTCCATGCCTCATTTGTCAGATTAGCCCCAGTTGAGGAGAAATTTGAGTTTGTGGTCTGTGAGTTTAAAAAAAAAATGGAATTAGAGCAAGTTGTAAAAGCTCTTTTGAAATTAATCTAATAACCCAGTGGCTGTTGGGCTAAGTGTCTCAGGCCTGTCTGAAATACAGTGGGTAATAGCCTTGGTTTCCATCTGACCTCCTTTCAACACGTTCATCTGCTGGCTTGGTTTGGCCACTGGTTCCCCCAAATTAAAAAATGAAAATGTATCATAAATAAGGTAATACAAAATGGGGAGTGGATTAAAGATTGTCTCTGCAATGCTTAAATTAAATCAACGATGCAGAGACCATAAACTCGTGGCTTTAAAAATGAGCTATTTCTTTATTAACTTTTAACAAGTGTGTGAGTCAATGTATTTCCTTTCCAAGAGTGTATTGCTCTCCACGTTAAATATGGCCAGGGCCTGGTATTTTTAGTAGAGAATTATCCCTTTAGAAAATCATTCCATAAAGATGCCAAAGGGAGATTAAAAATGCTGCAGCTGTAATAGCCACTGAACTTTTAAGGAGACCACGCTGTAATTCTGCATTCTCTGGAAAAGAAAGCTGCTTGTCAGCTTAGGAAACAGTCCATCTTCCTAAAGATTCACAAACCAAGGGTTAAGCTTTCTACTCTTGTGATCTGATAAAGAAGGCTGGGCTCTAGTGTTAACTCAGACATGGCAAGACCGCTTGCCTTTTGAGTCCCCTACCAGAATGTCACCATTCAAAAAAGATTAACACACAGAAATTAAAATTATGCTAAAATGATGCTTTTCAGAGGATACCCTTTAAATAGTGGGGATCATGCTTTTTAAGAGCGTTGTTCCAAAGTAATTATACTACTTCAAAACTAGTGACTAGGATAAGAGATTTGGTGGCTCTGTCCCTCAGTAGGGATGAATTTAGCTGATAAGCACAAGTGCCTGATTTAAATGCTGATTTACATCTGGGAACCAACTCTGGTCTCTCCTTTGAGCTGTGTACTTTTTATAGTGCTCAAGTAAATAGAATCTAGGAATGTCCCATTTGTAGTTTATGTCTCTCTCTCTCCTACTAGGAAATGTGCATTTCAAGGCAAAGCATTTGATGTAAGATACTGTTCAGCGAATCAGGACATTTAAAATTTATGTACTTAAAAATGAAAGTAATGAGAACATTCTGAAGTTATTTTGGATCCATAAAATTTGGATGCTCCTAGGACACAGATTCAATTTTGAAGAACTTCTTGCACAACTTTCCAGGAGCTGAAAAATGAGAATGAAACCACATATTTTTATACTGAGTTAAAATTGAATCACCATGTTTGTTCCGCCTGAAAATAGAATAATTTGGTGGCTGAACCTCCCTGGCGTCCCTCAAACTGTAAAGCCAGAAAAGTTCTGAAAAAAAGAAAAAAAAAAATCACATGTTTACTCTGCCCAGATTCCCTCTCTTGAGTCTAAGGGACCACTGTTGATTTACTTAATTATCTGGGGACAAATGTTTCATCTCTCATTTGCTCTACTTACTTTTCTGGGGACAAATGTTTTTCAGGCTTTTCGGCAGAAATTGTCCATGCAATGGGTAAATGGCTTTAAAATTTCAGCTTGTTCCAGGGAATATGTTAGTGGGTTAGAAAAAAACCTCTTTCCTTAAGATAGAGGGGAAAAGTCAGAAAGGTCTAAACCACTTTGAAACAACCTGTGAAAGTCATCTGCCTAGGCTTCATGCATTTGGGTTTCTCAGTAGTTAAGGCAAATATTAAAATTTTGCTTCTTACAACTCTTTCCATCTCTCTCATCACCAGCATCTGAAATTGGAACACCAACATATGAAAACTGAGCTAAAAAAAGTTCTTTACTCCAGTAATCTTTCACATTGGTCTAGGACCTATAGCTGAAGAAAAAAGAGCTGCGCATGGAATGGTGTTTGGACCTGATATTTTAGAGAGAAGGAGGTGCAGGCAGGAGAATGACAGAATTGTGGCTGTCAGTTCTATGATGTTAGATGCTCGAGTTTTAATGATAGGAAAATACCACTCCAAGTTGATATTACAGGACCCTGGCAGGAAATATTCTGCTCTAGTCACAAATTATCCAATCTGCTGGAGATTTACTTCATCATCAACTTCTGTGGCAAGAGATTGAACAGGTAGTTCCGTGTTTAGTCCTATTTAGCATGCTGTTCTTAGCACACTGTATCACCTTCAGGCAGGGATAAAAAACCCTGCCGGTTACATCTCAGATACTCTGCTATACAACTGCTTATTTTCACTTAGAAGGAGAAAGTAAACCCTGGTTTGGAGACTTCTAGTGCTAACTCTCAGAAATTCCAGTTAATGGCGAAAGTTTGAAAAGATAACTTTTGATGATACTTTACTTTTTAGGGAACGTTCTTGATTCAGTTGTTACCTTGCATGAAACATAAGGATAGCATGTTCTTTAATTTCATAGTAAATCTTGTGATTAAGATGCTGTTCTATTGAGATAAATAACTAGTTATTTTTAATTAGCTTTGCTAAGCTATTTTTTTCAACACTTACCTGTGACTATGTTATATCTAGATTCATTACAGTGAAGCCCTCTTGTAGTGTTTTATTTGCATTTCTTAGTGACTCTGTGTGTGTGTGTGTGTGTGTATGAAGTACTAGAAAAAGAAAATCCTGGAAACAAGAAATAGTCTAAGGATGAAATATTTGTTAATTTTCAGGGCAGTCCATTACAAAATAGAAACCATTCAGGAAACGAAAAGAATAGTATGCTTATAAAAAGATTTCATTCTCATCGGGCAACCCAGAGTGCTACATTTCCCTTGCTTTAAAGGCGCCATGTTTACTTGCTGGATAGTATGCCTGTTGAAGACTTAGCAACAGTGTGTTTCCAAACAGAAAGTTAGTCCTGATAAGACATTAACCCCAAATGGAAATGACGCTGAGATTGTCTGAAGAAAATTAACATTAAGTTAAAAATGAATCCCTAAGACTAGTAAGTGAAGTCAGCCTATTCTTAAGTATATTTTATATATATATCATATGTATATATATATATGTACAGAGCCTGTTTTTCTTAAGTTTGCAAAACAAAGATGTTTTCATTACAGTACTTTGGAAATTTCTGATGACTGCACAATCTGAGGTTCTAATGATAAAAGCCATTAGAACAACCACATGAAATAAATGATTTGAACCTGACAGAAGGATTAGTTCAGTTCATTTAGGTCCTCCGGATCATAAGTGACTATGATGCTAATTGCATAATCAGAGAAATAATAGATTGGTGGATTTTACATTTCTTTTTCTGTTGTCCTTTGAGACCATTACTTTATCATTAATTCAAACACAGGGATGGCAGGGTTGCCATGGCAGCAAAACTAAAAACAGTGAAAAAATATTAATGCCTTTGAAAGTCAACTATTATTTTAATCACAATTTTAAACATTTTTTTTTGAATGGAATCTATTTTCCCTTTGTAAGCATCTTCTGAACATGGACTATGTAGGTTTTTCACCATGATCTCAATGTGTTGTTCATGTACACAGATGTTGTTACATAAGTAAGTAGATGTTTCTGGGTGTCAGGAGCTGGGTGCTATGTTCTAGGGTGGCTCTAACCTTTCCACTGAACTTTGAGGGTGAGGCTTGAATTTAATTTCATCTAACTTTACCAATTCAACTTAATTGTGTGAGAAATATCTGGTGAAGATGAATTATAATACTTCACACTGCTACTTTCAAGTATGATAGAATAATACTGATGAAAACTACAGACACGGAGTTAAATTTGTCTCAGAAAAATTCTCTCACGAACTTATAAACAGACTCATTTGTCATTAGCCTAACTAATAGTTGAAAGAATTTCAAGTGATATGTGATATATTTGGTGGCCAAAACTTGAAATATGCTAAATATTTCTTTTGTTGACATTGCTAGCTATTTTCTCTTTCCCTTTAAATGATGCAGAAGCAAACTTTTGTTTGTCTAATGTATAACAGATTATGGGTTGGTGGCATGGAATGAAGCCTTGCTAAGTTTGTGTTGGTGGTGATATCTTTTAGTGTTACCATTTAATCTGCTTCTATTCCTTTAGGGGAGAGAATCTTAAACATTGGTGGATTTGATGTTTGAAATAGTAGGTGGTGCCAGAAAAAGCTCTGGAATAGCAAACAGGATGGGCAAATGTCATTTTAGGTTCTTTGTGACAGAAACACACACCCTTATGTAGTTTATTACCGCCTTGTGCGCTGACATACCAGGAGCAACTCCACAGTTGTTCCCTTCTCTCTTCTTTTACTAAAATTATCTTTTTCTCATGAAAGCCTAACCCCTCATCCCATTGGCACGTGGAGTGTACGGTCAGAGCCGTCCGCTGGCCTGAGTCGGTGGAGTGATAGTGATAGTGAGCGTGCTCCAAAACTGCCCTCCGAGAGTAAAGGAGAGGGCAGCTCCCTGTGCCCTCCAGCTCGCACCTGCTGCCCTGACTTGGTTAACTGGATGCACTAAAAAATAAAAATCTGCCTCTTGGAAGCTCATAAAAGTGTACTAGAAAAAAGTCTCTAACGTTGGATCCACACGGACTGCAGCCATTGGCTTTTGGATCTGGTGGAATAGAGAACCCTTCACAGAGTACTGGATAAATAGAAAGAAACAGCCACGTCACATATTTCAGTGTCGTATTGGAAAATGAAAAGGCAACAGATTAGGAGTCTTTGTCACTGTCCACCCCTCCATACATATCTGCGAGCTTTTTGAATCGAGGGCCCCAGTCACTAAGGTAGTCGTAGTCCTGGTCTCCATCCGTGGTCACCGACTCCAGCGAGCTCAGGGAATCGGCCACTGAGCCGGTGCCTTCGTAAGCGTAGGTGGCCAAGGAGTCGTAGGGAGGAGCAGTGGGGTCCGTGTCATTTTCCTTTAACCTTTGGTTAATGAAATCTCTGACATCGGTGTTGTCGCGAGCAGTTGGAGTCCGTCGGGGTAGAAAAAGGGTTTCGGGCACGATGTCCCTGCGTAATTTGTTGTCCTCTATGGCTTCAGGATTCCTCAGGGTGCCGATATCAAAGGCCTGAGTGTCCTCTTCTCCACCACCTTCGTCGTTGTAACTGACAATGTTATCTCTGATGTCCTCTTTGGAAATGATCAAAGGTTCTTTTTTTCGCTGCCGCCTCAGAGCTGCAAACAACACCACTGTCACTGGAAGCAGAAAACAAAACAGAAAGAGAAGGGAAAGTTAATTTGCTACCCAATTAATGTCAGGAAGAAATACTGTGCTCAGATGTGAAGTTTTATAAGTTCTGTACAAAAGGCAGACTCAACTTTTATTTCTCTTAAGGATGCACTTGCCTCCATCCATAATCAAACCGGGAGCCAGGAGGAGATGGAGTAAATATTTGCAAGAAGGTTATGATTTAGGGAGAGGATGAAACATTGTCATAGTTTGTCAGTAGTTTCCTTTTGCTTTGAAATGGCAAGCCAGTTTCAAGGTAAGGTAAAATAAAATGATAATAGAAAGCTCAGCCATCGTAAAAGTACCGTGAGAAGAGTGCAAATTATGCCGAACACCTAAAAAGCTCTGAAACTGGTTATGCGGCCAAGGCTGGCACCTTCAGGGATGTGTTGAAGGGTTTGCATAACTCCACATCTAAAATAACTTTTGCACTATGCCTTCTTTTCTACTTTCTGAGACAAGTGTTAAATTAGTTTAAAACTCAAAGTAGAGATATGACTATTTGCATACAAAGTAGAGATATGAGTATTAGCACATCTTCCCAACATATAAAGTAGTGTTACAGGTAATACTTAGAGAGACCCAGAAAGCAATGAGAATTTTATTTTTCAGAGGTTCATGTTTCATAAGTTTGCTGCCCAGATTGTTTCTTCTTTTGATTTTTTTCCCCTCCTAACTCAAATTAGAGGCAAAGCAGAGATTATGTTTAAATAATTCCTGATCTTTCTTCACAGCTGGTTGAGTGAGTAAGACACAGCTAGCTACTGGTAGAAAGACACATCTATCTAGAAATGTATGGGTGGGAAGATAAAAACAAAGCAACAGCTTGAAGGGAAAAATGCCACCCAGGGAAGAAAATGCATTGTTAACCTGGGTTTGTCAAGGAAGTTTATGATAGGAAATACCAGTAACATCTCTTTACTGTCTCACCCATCACATGGCCCAGGGTTTATGAGCCAGGGAAATTGAATTATCACACCAAGAACCACAGAATAATGGCTTCTTTGTGGTAAGCATATCTGCCTATCTAATAGTGGGTGTATACATACCTACATGTGTATACATTACAATTTCAGACATTAATGATATGAATTGTTGTAACTGGTTTTCTCTTGAGAGCCTTCTGTATGCCAAGCTTTGTGCTAAGTGCTTCACATGCTGAATCTCATTTCTTCATTGTAACAACTCTACAGAGCAGGTGCCATCATTATAACCCCATTTCACATAAGAGGAAATTGATGTTTTGAGATGTCATTCAAATGTAGGTTGGTCAGACTCAAACACCCACATTCTTAAGAGTGTTGCATGAAGCATGTTTGGGTTATAGACTGTTTCCAAGGGAAATGCAATTTTGCCATTTTGAAGTGTGTGGTTGTATAAATATACACACTCTACTTTGCTGCCAGAGGGTATCCTGGCATCTCATCTGTCACATCCACTGAAGGAATTCATTCATTCTTTCAAAACATAGTATGTAGTAAGTACTCTGCACCCTGTATGGTTCTAGGCACCGTCAATGGAAAACAACTGAGGAAGAGCCCTGCCCTAACAGGGTGGGCAGGGGTGGTGGAGGCAGCACTTGGATGGAGATGTGAAACAAATGCTGTAAACAATAAACAAGGAAGGTATTAGAAGATGAGGAGTAGAACATAAACAAGAAAAGGTAGAGCAGAATAAGGAAGGTGGGGAGTGATTCTGTGTGTGTTTGAGGGGAAGTCTATGCTTTTTGGGCAAATTTCACATCATTTGAGCAGAGACATGAAGAGTTATCCAAGAGCTTTCTTCTGGCAAAGAGGAAAGACCCCAGATGTGTGCCTGGTGTGTTTGAGGAGAACCCAGGATTCCTGTGACTGGCTAGAGGGAACTAGGCAGTGGTGGAGAGAAGAGAGTGGACCCTTCCCCTGGACCCTTGGAGGCTTCTGTATACCCTTCACCTCTATGCTGGGAAGTGGGAATTGGGGGGCAGGGAACCATAGGGCCTTGGGCAGAGGGATGCCCATGATCTACCATTTATTCTTATTTCTGGTGTGTCCAATGGCATGGATTTGCAAAACAGAAGGCTGTAAGTAAGGATGGCCTTTGGGATTATAGAAGAGCATCAAGCCAACTCTCTTTCCAAGAATTCAGCTGTGCTGTACATGGGCTCTTTCAGTCATTTAAGGCAGTATAGCAGCCTTTTATCATTTCTTAAATTTTCTCCAGCTTGGGGACCTATGTTTTTAATTTTAGTTATATGCACACCTGAAAAGAAAGGGTACAAAAATTCAAAGAAATTTAGTCATGACTTAATTCTTTGACAGCTAAAACTGCCCACATATTTTCTTATAAGCCTGATGCACACTTGAACAGAATTTCTTGAGAATGTAATTAACTAGAAGGTAGATGTTTCTCAGGTAAACTTTTATAAACTTGAGAGCGCGATTTCTAAGCACATGAAGCAAAAACAGGAAAGTAATGCATTGATAAGGTACCTTTACCAAGGATTGAGCTTCTCTTTCCTCTATTCTCTTGGAACTAGAGGACAGCAATAAGATTTACCTTTAGAGACCAGGGATCTTGGGCCATTTTGTGTTCAAATGCCATCATAAAACTAGAAGACCAGTAGATCTATATGAGCTTAAATGTATAAAAGAAAAGTGATAACACAATACTCCACATTGTTGTCAGGAATGAGTTAATACCAAAGTACTTCAAAAAGTTAATGGGAACTAGGATTCCAATAATAAGTTTATTTTGATGTGAAAAATTTTAAAGTGTATGCATACACAGGAGCTTCAGAAAGTTTCAGGAAAATGCATATAATCTATGCATTAAAAACTATGCATGGATTTCAAAATTTTTTGCACCAAAATAAACTTATCTTTAATTTATTAAAAAATTATGTATTTTACCAAAGTCATCCCACTAGTCAAAGTGATCAGTTTCAGTTCATAATTGATCATAATGATAGGATTAAGAGTCAAAAGGATCACATAAACAAGACTAATGTCTGCTAATACTAACTGATAGAATTAAAAAAGGAGAGAACGATGCAACATGGGAAGTGGGATACACAGCAGACTCATAGAATGGCAGATGTCCCAAACAGCACTCTGGCCTCAGAATCATCCCTTAAGGCATTCAGATCTGGCTGAAGAGTGCATGAGAGTATTTTAGGCATGGAAAGCCAAGACACTCTGGAAAAAAAAAATAAATAAAAACACCTAAATGAAAGATCTCTGCGAGTGAGATATCTTCAGAAAGAACAGGCCATCAAAGAAGGAGGTACCTTTCTCTGAAGGGAGGAGAGAACTTCCACTTTGACTATGACTTTATCTAAATAAGATTGGAGTCGGCAAACTCAAAAGGCTTCCATAGCCTTGGCAACTCATGACAAGAGCCTGGGGTGATTACTGATGCCATAAACGGGAGTGTCTATTGTTAAGTCAACAACAGGAGTCACTGCACTTACTCCCCATGTAGGATCTCTGTCCTAAATGTGTTGTCCAATGTGAATTAATGCTATAACTATTACTCAAACAGTACTTTACACTTTGTGTTTCTGTGTGGGTGAAAGCTGTTGAAATTTTTACTTAATATATACTAAATTGATCTTCTGTGTATAAAGATAATTGAAAATTAATCTTGATGTGAATGGAAGGGGAGAGGGAGCAGGAAAGGGGAGGGTTGCAGGTGGGAGGGAAGTTATGGGGTGGGGGAAGCCACTGTAATCCAAAAGCTGTACTTTGGAAATTTATATTTATTAAATAAAAGTTAAAAATTATGTATTTGATAAATAAAAAATGAGAGAGAGAGAGAGAAATAGCACCCCATTAAGTGATTCATCCCACAAATGCCAATACTGCTGGGGCTGGGTAAGAGCTGGAGCCCTAAGCTGGGATCTCAAAGTAGTTCTGTCATGTGGTAGGGACCCAAACGCTTGAGTCATCACTGCTGCCAGTCAGGGTCTATATTAGTTAGATTCAAGAGTCAGAACTGGGAATCAAACCCAAATACTCTGATGTGATATATACATGTCTTAACCAGCATCAACCCCTAGATCAAATGGCTGCCCCTAAACTTATCTTTTAATTTTATTTTTCCATTAACTTTTTGAAGTATCCTGGTTAATCTGAAAGTTTTGCCAATGTTAAAGCACCATATGGACATGAGATGTAGTAGGTTAGTTATTTCTATTGTTGTTTTATTTTTGTAAAATACCAGATGCCACACGATCCACTTTTTTGACTCCAGATTTCCTTGTATATCAATGTGCTTTTCTTCTCTTACAGACTCTCAGATTCATCTCCTCTTTCTTCAGCTGTCCCATTTCACGTCTGGAAATTGACTTGCCTTCTATAACTTCACAACATAGAGCACAGTTTGGAAGCCCTGCGTCTTTGTGAGAGAAGAGCTAGCTTGGAACTTAGTCCTACCACCTGTTAGATGTGTGACTTGGCTACGTGATTCCACATCCTGGGGACTCAGTTTTCATATTTAAGATGCAGATAAATATACACCAGATGGCTCTGTGGATTAAGTATGAAAAAAAATTTGCAAAGCACCTTGCACCCTGTCTGGCCTATGGTGTGAACCTGGTAAAGGTTAAATTCCATTTTCCTCCTTTTTTATTAGGTAACGTTTTCCAGAGAGACCAGACAGGATGTGGGTGGCACTGAGGCCAATTAGCAGAAGTGAAGAGACAGTGAATTCATGGCATGAGGGAAGTAAAAAGAGAAGATAGAGTTGGTTGGAAGAAAAAGGGGAGGATAGAATGGATAGATGATGAGGGAAAGGAAGAAACATCTCCCTCAGATGAGGATCCACTCTCTTTCCATGGATCACCACAGGGCTACTACTTGAGGACTTCCCCACCAATGTAGGGCGCCTAAAAAGAACCCTTTTGATCAAAAAGAACATTCATGCCCTTCTCCAAAGGAATTTTTGCAGACTCACACCATTAGAAACACTGATTTGTCTTTGCACACTGTCAGTTTTTATTTATCCTCATATCTTAAAATACTTTTCCCAAATCTTAGTTGACAAAGAGAATCACAGTTCTCTGGTTGAGTTTCAAGGCTTCTGCTATAATTAGCGAGGTGGAATGGGAATGTGAAGTTCTTGAGCAGGGATCCCTTGGCGTTTGTTCTTTTCTTGGAGAAATGTAGGTCCTCCTTGATGCTTCTCAATGTCATTCTGTCATCGTCTTTTCAGAAAAGTTTTCCTCCTGGTCATCTAGGTTAACTCCAACTTCTTACTCTGTTTTTCTTTGTGTAGATAAGTTTTACAGATCTTGCTTTTATTTTTGTAAGGGTTTTATTAAGTAACATTTGTATTCTCAGCTCCCAAAAGGTCAAAGACCTTTTGGGCAATTTGAGTTCAATGTAGAGCTAATTTGTTGGCTGGTGGTAGAAATTACATTGAAATCATTGTTGGGCTATGAATTTCACTTTCTTTGGCATCCCAGATTTATCTTCTTAGTCAGTTATTTAGTGTTGAGAGTCTGAGATATGAGTATAATAGACATTATGTGGCAATCAGAGAGCAGTGCTAATAAGGTAGTCATTTACGTGGGTGGATTAAAATAAGTCTACCAGGCTATAGAAAATTTCATAACTTTTTTTTCCTGTAGGAAAGAGAAAAAGTCATCACACTCCTCTTCCCACTCTCCCATTGATCTTTAAACTTTACCTTTGTAGAAAGGGCCTTCACCATATACTCCATGCCGGGTGACTTTCACTTTTTAAAATTTAACAATGTTTGCTAAGTTAAATATTAAACAACAAATGAAATGAAAAGGGCATATTTATATTGCCCTTAAATCCTTCTGAGATTCATTCCCAGTCTGATAAACAAGAGATTCTTTTGGCGGAATGATTCCCAGGGCAAGCAAAGACATGGGTAAGTTTCACATCTGTTCATTCTCCAAAGCCATTTTCAAGCAAAAATGAGTTCATAATTGAACAACACAGATTCTCAGCATTTGACTCTACTCACCTAGAGCAGGCTGTAAGCTTTAATGGGGGAGACGGAAAAATCTAGAGTGTCACAGTAACAGTGTGTGCCCCTCACCAAGGGGAGATAGGATGCAGGGAGAAGCAGTTTACCTAGTAGGATCACGATGCACAGAAGGATGGCAACCAGAGCCCCCGTGCTCAGTCCCGTGGGGTGGATGAGGGCCTCAGCATGGCAGGACTGCATGTTCCCATGGTGGTCACATGCACAGACCCGGACAGTCACTGTCCCAGTGCTGCTTTGGACTGGGTAGTCGTTGTCTGAAATGACCACAGGCAGGAGATAGGTGCTCATCTCGTGTCTGTTATAGCCATTTTTCCGAGTTAGGATTCCTGCGGTGTTGTCTGGAACCAGAAAGCAAAGTGGTGAATTTGTGTGGATGTGGCATCATGTATTGGATCAATTATGATGGGAAATATATGTGTATACACACACACTGACACACACAGAGATTTGGATCCTATAGATAACTATAGGTAACTTGAGCTTGTTTACCTTTGTTATCTTGAATGGTAAAGTTTGAGCCAATGGCTGCTTCAGGGGCCAATGAGAATGAGAATTGGTGCCCACTGTATGGGTCGTCCTTGTCAACAGCACGTAGGGTCTGAATCAACTATAAGAAAAGCCAAAAAGCTACTATAAAGTTTTGCTAACTCAATAATGTTTCTTACGCAGTTTTGTAGTAAATTGCTTAACTGAAGGATTTTAAATTTTAATTAAAAACAATAGCCTTTGAAACAATACAATGAATCTGCTCTATTAGAAAAAGTTGATGGGTTAGAAAGCTGTATAGAAAGGATAACTGTTGTTCAGGGCTGTCCTGTGTGAACATCAAAGTGCCTAGATGTTCCCACATATTGCTAGGGAGCAAAATCACCCTGGTGGAGAAACATGGTCTTAGAGTGATTCAGTAGATTCAATATCACAATGATCTATGACAGCATTGTAACCTAACAAAATAGGGGCACTCCTTGGGACAGCCTGTTCAGAAAAGCAATCTTGGCATAAACAGAAGCTATCAGATGGCAAAAAGCTAAAAAGCCAATGAAGATACAAAACACAGTTAACTGCAGCTTCCCACTTGCTCCTGTACTTTAGCAGTGAATAAACTGTGACATAATTTTATATTACTGGCAGCAAAGACTTATTGCAGGTAGGGACAAATGTGTAAAATAGTAAAACACTCATGAATTTGTATTACTTGTACAGATGGGCAATGTAAATAAGTGAAACTATGAATTATAGGCAATTGCAAAAATATATTCCAGTTATTACTCTCAAGTACATATGGTAATTAAACTATCTGTTCACCAATAAAGAGTTTTCCAATAAAGCTGCGACTAATCTATTTTAATGAAAGTTAAGATGAATTTGGAATCTGCATCTGTCTTGGAGACTGATGAACTTCCAGTTCTTAAAAACTGTTTGCTCTCTTACACAAGTTAAACACTCATACTCGTTCTTATTTATAGTATTAATTTTCTTAGCATTCCCTTCATAGATAATTCAAAACTAGCCCTCAGCTCTGTGTATCACCTGAATTATTAGAAGGGCTAAATTAATCCGTCTCTCCTTCCTAGGAAACTCACCTGGTCTGCCTTTGCTTTCTCACAGACGAAGGTTTCGTAGAACTCGGCAAATTCTGGGGCATTGTCATTGACGTCTAGAACTTTAATATATAGAGGTACTCTGCTACTTTGCTTTGGATTATCTGTCACATACAAGAGAAAGAAATAAGCATTTGTATGCTGCTCGCCAATCTCCTTTAAATAATATTCATTCACTCATTCTTCTGCCCAATTCTCCAAAGCTGCTCTAGGTGCTATAGGGCATTAAGTACCCATGTGATTGCAAGAAAGTAAAATTAGATTGCTTGGTATTTTTTTTTTTTTTTGACAGGCAGAGTGGACAGTGAGAGAGAGAGATGGAGAGAAAGGTCTTCCTTTTGCCGTTGGTTCACCCTCCAATGGCTGCCACAGCTGGTGCGCTGCGGCCGGCGCACCGTGCTGATCCGATGGCAGGAGCCAGGTACTTATCCTGGTCTCCCATGGGGTGCAGGGCCCAAGCACTTGGGCCATCCTCCACTGTACTCCCTGGCCACAGCAGAGAGCTGGCCTGGAGGAGGGGCAAGTGGGACAGAATCCGGTGCCCTGACCAGGACTAGAACCCGGTGTGCCGGCACCACAGGCGGAGGATTAGCCTATTGAGCCGTGGTGCCGGCCCTTGCTTGATATTTTTGGAGTTGGTTATACCTGACAGAAATGCCAGGGAGAAAGAAATGCTTGTGTTGATATACTACAACTGTGTAATAAACCCCAAAGTAACACAATCGAAAGAAAGGCATTGTGGAGGTAGGTTTTCAAGGCAGCAAGCAGATGGGAAAAATATGGCCAAAAGGAAAAAGATTGGAAATGAATAAACCAGCAGGAGATGAAAAAATTGTTTGTCTTGGGTTTTCAGTTTGAATATTGAATGCCTGAGTGCTAGATTTTGTGCTAGGTGTTCACTATGTGATCTTCATTCATTCTGATAAACTTCTGAGGTTGATAGAGTTATTGCTCCCATTTTATATATAAGAAAACTGTTGCAAAGAGAAGTTCAGTAATTTATCTGTGTTCATGGAGACAGTAAGGCATATAACCTAGATTCAGACTTGGGTCTGTCTGACTCTAAGACCCAGGGTGTTCTTCCAGAATAATGATATAAGGAGTACTTCAAAAATTCATGCAAAAGGTGGATTATGGATTATGGATTATGGATTTCATTTTTTGCACCAAAATAAACACATCCTTTGATTCCATTTTTTCCACAAACTTTTTGTTTATGCCTGGAGAGTGGAGGATGAGTATGTTGTCTTCTGTGATAATCTCCTGGATAGTGAGGAGAACAGATCCTAGTGTAAGAGGAGTTGGAATCTTGGCTCGTTCTCACTCACTTCACTCATACATTTATCTGTTTACTTAATAAATACTTAAAAGCTTTCAACAAGTCAGCCCTTAGCCCAGGATATGGAGCCCTACTGAGGGCCTTTCCCAGAACAGGAACCAGTTCCTAGACTGTAAGTTGGCTCCTGAAATGTTCAAACACAGAGACTCATGAAGTTTTTACTGTATGATAATTTTTATGTATTATTTCATAAGTGTTTTAATATTAAAAAATAAACAGTGATCATCTAATATCTACTGTGTGCTAGCCATTAGTCGGGATGCTGGGACCACAGGGAACACAGTGAAGACATTGTTTCCTGAAGCTTTGTTCTAATGGGAGTAGACAAACTGGAAACACATAAAAGTATTCTGCAGCAAAAGGTACATGCTATGGAGACATTAAACAGAGAGAAAATGGGGTTGAGAGACACAGAGGTGCTCTGACGAACTGGATGCCTAGGGATGACCCCTTTGATGAGATGTCATTTGCCCAACCAGAGATATGAATGATGAGAAAGATGAAGCCATGTGAATATTTCTGGCTCTTCAGGTAGAGCAGAGAGCAAGTGCAAAGGCCTGGAGAGGGAGTGATCCAGAGTTACTCAAGCTCTGGCCTTCTGTTATATCACAAGCCATTCAGAAGTTTGGACAATAGGATTCTTAAGATCTCTGGCATCTGTGATTTCACTCATACCATTCTCACAAAGAGCTGCTGAATATGAACTTTTAAGAAGTCTTATTCTGGGATTCAGTTGCACAGTAGGGATACTATAGGTAATATTGATATAGTGTGTGTTTCTATATTTAAAAACCAGAGGATAGAATTTTGAATGTTTTCACCATAAAGAAATATATAATATACATGTTATACAACATATACATGTACCAAAAAATCACAAAGTACCCCACAGAGATGTGCAGTTTTTCTGTGGGGGTTTTAAAAATATGTTAAAAAGGTCTTAATCACTAATCTTTTCAAATACATTTCAGCAACATTAAATCTTAGAAAAAGAAATTTTCAGGCACAATGCTTAAAATATTTATGAAATGACTATTTCAATAAAAAGCAAAATTTCTTGATGTTATTTAAAAATGGTCATTTTGGGACTGGCGTTGTGGCATAATAGGTTAAGCCACCTACTGCAATGCTAGTGGGAGTCATGGTTGCTCCACTTCTGATCCAGTTTGCTGCTAATGGCCTGGGAAAGCAGTGGAAGATGGCCCAAGTGCTTGGGCCCCTGCACCCACATGGGAGACCTGGAAGAAGCTGCTGGCCCCTGGCTTTGGTCTGTTCCAGCCTTGCCATTGCATCCATCTGGGGAGTAAAACAGTGGATGGAAATTCTCTTTCTCTTTCTCCCTCTCCCTCTTTGTAACTCTGCCTTTCAAATAAATAAAATAATTTTTTTAAAAAAGTTCATTTTCAGTGGGAAATAATCTTGTGCTTTTAAAGCCCTCAGAGTCCTTTCTTACTGGTATCCTCATTAGTCCCTTGGCAAAAACTCTGAAGAGCAAATTCCTACCTAAAAATGTCTACTGAGGCATCTTTTTCACTTTGCTTTTGTCTGTATTGTCTTTCATTGTTCTACCCGATATCCTTCAGCCACTTCACAGTCTCATGTGTTTTCCATTTTACGTGGACTATTTCACACTGGATACCCAACTGAGATGACAATTTTTAGAACTTTAATATTAACCCTCCCAAATAAGCTGTTATTTAGGTCTATTTTTAAACATCAAAGTACTATTTTGAATACCATTGTTTCTTTAAGTACATTATTCCTACATTGTTTATAATACACATTCATTTTCATTGTGTATAATTGATTTATTTGAAGCATTCTTTTGCCTCTAGTTTTCCTTGCCTTAGGTTTCATGGGGACTAGTATAAATTCATTGTAAACATTTTATTGATTAATTAGTGGTTTGTATTGCTTACTTTGGTGTAGCACAGAAAAGTAAGGATTTGTATCTCTTATTTCTATAAAGATTTTGAAATATAAATTTTGTTGAAAGCTGGAGAATGAATCACCAAAAGATTTCTAAATAATGCCTATATTTTACAATGTATGTGACCACCTCTTTTGTCCCGCCCCCATACATAATTTCCCCTCCCCAGCTTTTTGGGTAACACTCTGATTTTTAAGCTTTTAGGAATCAAATACAACAAGTACAATTTAATCCCATTGGAGGGATGTCAATTTATTGTCTCTCTAGTGCAGAATTTCCATGGTTGTCTTTGCACTTATGAATGAGTGAACCTACACATTTCTAGAAGAAACATAATTGCACATGATGCGAGGGCCCTTTCCCTCAATATGTGTGACGCAGCAGGATCATCAGTACGTGGTAATTGGTTTCCACCATGCTCCAGCAGCCCTTGCTGGGACACTCACTCCATCAGTCAGAGACAGCGGCTGTACTAGGGTGGACTTACTAATCTCTGTCGCTATCACTGTAATGTTGTGCCACAGCAGTGTTTCTCGGTCCAGAAGTTTCGATGTAAAAATGGAACCATTTCCAGAATCAATGTTGAATATTCTGTCCATATCCGTGTGTCGATCCACAGAATACCTGAAAATGCAGAGTAGAGTTTAGAAAGACTGTATATTTGCTGTTCTTACATCCTGTAACTATTCCTGGAATATATGCTAAATGTTTTTTTCCTACTTGTAGTACATATTGAATATCTATAACTTCACAGTAAATAAGGTATTCTGAGCAATTAGTTGTTTGCTGATGAGGTCTTAGTAGTAAACTCACTAGACAAGTTACATGATTTTCAGGATCATCAATAAAGTTCCTTTTTTAAAAATATGTAACTTGGATCAAGTTTAAATGGTGATTCTTTGTCGCTCCCCGTCTTCATGGGGGAACGACACTAAGCCCTGCCTAGGCTTCATATCCGAGTCACGGCACCATTATGTCGCTCCCCCTCTTCGTGGAGGAACGACACAGGACCCTGCGCTGTTCTTTCGTCTGCTCGGCCCTCCCCGGGTTTGCTGCTGGTTCTTCCCGGGTTGGCTACTATCCCTTCCACCTCCGTGGAAGGGCAGTTCCCCCTGGCCGCATTCCCCACTTCCGCAGGGGAGCGGCACACCGCCGGCCGGCTTTCTCGGGGGCTGCACGGGTTCCCTTAGATGTTCCCCATAGATGTTCCTGGTGCATGCCGTCTCTCTCCTCCTTTATAGTCCTCCTCCACCAATCCTAACTCGGCTGCCCACACGCCGAGTACGCTGCTCTCCTCCAATCAGGAGCAAGTCCTACAGTTTATTAGTTGAACTGGAGGCAGCTGTGCGGAAGCTGTTTACTTCTCTCCCAGCGCCATATTGTGGGAGAGCAGATGCATAGAATAAGTCCTAATTCGAGTAACTTAGTCTAGTCCGGATTGCTCCCCACAATTCTTAAAATTTTAACTCGAGCTTTTAGAACATCAGAATGTGTGTGTTTGTATGCTTATGTAGTATATTGGCTATTTTTCTGTTATCCATTTTATTTTAAATATCATACTTTTGAAAGATGCAAAAAATGATTAGTGTGGCCAAGGTCATGGAAGCGGGAAAGAGAGATAGAGGGTGTGACTGGAGAGGCATCCAAACACAGACTGCAGAAGAATGGGCTGGCAATGGTTAGGAGTTGGACTTTATTCTAAATGCAATGTGAATCTATGAAAGGGTTCCAAACAGGGAAGTGTCACAATCTAAATGATATTTAACAAAGGTCACTGGGTGAATTGAGGAGAATAGTTGGGTGGTGCTGTCACAAACTGATGGAAAGACAGAGTGAAAAACAGGATTTAGGGAAGCTCATGAGTTCTGTTTTTGATAATGATGGGGCTGAGGTGCTTGAAGAAAGTCCAGGAGGAGAAACTTAGTCTGCAGCTTGAGATAAAGAATTAGACTGACAACCCAGATTTCCTACTCAGCTGTCTGGAAAGTGATGCCCAGTGAAGGGAGAAAAACATTAAGGACAGGATTATGTAAAGGACCCAAGGGGACACAGAGACCCACAGGGGCCAGGATAGTACCTGGAGCAGAGTAAGAACCGGATAACCATTTGAAAAGAGAGTTTGTAGGAATTCAAAGACAACCAAGAGTGGTATCTTAGAAACCAAAGAAGGGCAGTCTTCTACCCCGAAACGGATGGAAGACTGGTAGATTCTGAGAAATGTTATAAGTTTATTACTAGTTTTTAGAATATCCATGGAAGGGGAAATATATGTGTACATTTATGAGTGAGAGAAGGCACTGAAGAGAAAACTCTGAGGCAAGTTATTATGTTAAGGCCATTAGGAAAAACATTTCCCACTTCAGCTAGATTCTCAAAGAATACTATGATAGGAAGTTTTAAAATGTCGGCTTGGTAGAAATATAATTAAATAAATGGTCTAACTACTCAGATACTCTAGAATTATTATAACTATTCTAAAAAAAGTTATTAATTTTCAATAATATAAAATGTCCAACATTCTATTTCAAGTCATTATTTTTGTTTAAAATATAAAGTTATAATTAACACTATACTTTCATAATAAAATTCATTTTTGTCATCTAAGTAGATGCCTAAATAAAATAGACAATGAATTATTGTAGACTATTTAAATCCAACCTTAAAGAGAATTAATGAAGTTCACAATTGTGCTGGAATTTTAGTTTCATTGTATATAAACTAATGTGTTAATACCAGAAAGACTGAAATAAATAAAACAGCTATTTTTAACCTTTATTAAGAATTTAGGTAACCATATTGAACTTACTTCACTACCTTTCTTAATTTTTAATTTGAGAATGATAAATATTTATTATATTCAGTTAATCACCAAAAAGAAAAATCTCAGTATTCACAGACTTTGTGAGAAGTTTAATAATTACCTACAAGCATATCTTTCCCCTCATGAGAAAAGTCAAACTTAAGGTTTTTTGCTCATTGTGTTTGTGAGCTTTTACAATCATAAACAGCAGAGATATCTTTTCTTCCTCCTATAGTTTTAAGTTTTAACAGTAATCACACTTTTCCATCAAGGTTAAGGGGTGAGATTTAGGTGACAGCAAGCTTTGATTTCAAGGAGAAATTAGCTGTTCATAAAATATTAATATTGTATATTATTTTTCCCTAATTGTGAGATTTTTAAGTTAGTGGAAAACCTAAAATGCCTACATTGTTTCGGAAAGATGCTTGCACACAAAGCCTTACTTATTTGTTGTTTTCTTTCCAAAGTAATCTCAATTTATATCAATTTATATCCACTCTCATTAATGGTGATCATCATGGATCAGGACCAGAGTGCTCAATCTCATCATGATTACAGCAGATCTTCTGCTAGGTAGCTCCTGCCTTTTTTTCTAGGACTTCATTGCATTCCGTAATTAAATAATTTGTCTTCTAGCATATCTTCAATTCAGGGGGATTTGTAGTTGGAGAAAGGAAGTTGTGTTTACATGTAAATTTTTCATAATATGTATTTATAGCTACATAAGTTTCTTTCATAGAAATCAAAGAGTATTCGTGGTAGAGTTTCTGGCAGAAAATGATTTTATGTGATTAAAAAATTAAAGATTTGTGCCTGCATAACAGTAAGTTAGCATTTGGGGGAAGAATTCTCTCAAGTTAATTGTACACCTAACATACTGTCTAGCTCCTAGCAGGTCAATATATATGTCTTGAATAACCAAAACCTATGCATGGATGTACTTTCCAGTATAAGAACAAGTTTAATCTTATAAAAGAAATCACTGGAACAAGCATATATGCTAATATATCTATGCATATTTCTCACCTTAAATCTATATCTGTATACTAAATCCATATGTACTATGGGAAGGCTGGTAGCAAAAAAAGATTCAAAATTAGATGGCAACCAACCTAATCCGACAACCTAAGTACTTCCTTTCATAAAACATAGAATAATATAGTGAGTAAAAATGGCATTTGATATAAAAAGTAGTTATAGACAGAAAGAAATACAACCCAAATTCCCAGAAGCCATAGACTCTTTCAATGAAAAACATGTTGATCTAGCAAAAATGTAACCAAAGCTCATGTTTGTAAACTTCTAGCATTAGCAACTTTAAATTGAACCCTGACACAGTCTTGCTGAGACGTTTTCTTTATGCAAACTCCATGTGAGAGAATAGATGTGAAATTAAAGTCTTTGCGCTATTAATGTGAAAACCATCTCTCATCTTCCTTATTAATAATATTACATGTAAATGGAGAGACACTTGATCCACGGAGCTCACATGTGGCTATTTTGTTGGCTATAGTCCAAATTCAAGAACTTATAGATATTCCAGTAGACTGATAATTTTCTGCCAATCTGTTTGCCCAGGGATTTAAAATTATTTCCTGAAAGTAGGTTGGGCATTTTTGTGACAGCTTGTCATAAGGTCTCATTTCAGGAAAGCGCTCAGAAGTTACAAAGTTAGAAAATGATTGCCTTGGAGCTTCAAATTTATTTATCTGTAACAATGCATTAATGTTTATTAGTATATTTATATGAATGATATCAATAACCACACTCTTCATGCAGCAGCCAGGTGATCCTTTACAAAGGTAATCTTGGATAATTCTTCAATTCAAAGCTTTTCAATAGCTTTTCTAAACTGTACTGTGGACTACAAAGCCCTATAGGACCTGCCACACTGACCACCGGCTACCACACCTTCCTGTTGGGCTCCCAACCCACCAGTCCCTCCTCCGACTGTGCAGGCCTCCTTGCTGTTCCTCCAACACGGATGCAAGCTCTGATAACAGATCACACCATTGCTTTTTGCTCTTCTTGGTTTGGTTGTTCTTAGCCATCAGCCTGGCCTTCATTTCATTCAAATCTTGACTCAAATGAGTTCCTGTAAGGCCAAGTTTGACCACACTACCTAAAACAGTGCCACAGGTACTCTGTTTCCATATTCTGCTTTTTTCATGGCTTAGCATTTATTGCCACCTGATATATTTCTCCAATACATATTTATAATTTGGTGGATTCCCTCTGCCCAAATTAGAAAGCAAACTCCATGAGATCAGGACTTACTACCTGACCAGATTCCGTAGAGCCTAGAATGTGCATGGCCAGCGGCAGGTGCCCTGGTCAGAAGACATTTGTATACTCATTAGCAACAGTTCCTGTAGCTTTTCAGTCTATATATGGGGCAAATTTACACAATATCTGGGCTTAATGTTCTCCCCATTTTGTCAGTTAAGTTACTGACTGAAGGCTGGAGGTTGGTTGACTCCAGCATTTTCCTGAGAAGATTCTAGAATACCCAAGTGCCAGTGATTCCAAAGAGCATTGAGGGTTTCATGCACCACGATTTACAACTCAGCTGTAAGGAAAGCACAAGGAAAACAGGGCTTGCCTACACAGCATAAATCTGGGTTCTGCTCTATTAATTTCTCCAGGATTTCGCAGACATACATCATCAAACAGATCTTGTTTTTTTACCTGTCTGCAGGAGGAAAACTTACGCATCCAAATGGAGCATAATTCTGCCTCTAAGTGTTACATGATAGGTTCTTCCACACTTGAAAAACAAGCTCTCAAGTTAGTGCCTGGCTAGTTAGTTTCTCCACAGCACTCCTTGAGAAATCTCAAACCTCGGAAAAATCTCCTGCCTTAAAAACAAAATTTCAAGCCATTCAGCTACTGCATTACCTTCCATTACGTCTGTGCAAGCAGTAAACTCCTGTTAGCTCCTTTTGTGCCTTGTCCTTTCAAGTGGTGTTGTTTAGATTTATATCGCTACTAAAATAATATTTATGCAGTGAGCAAGGAGAGTGAAAAGTGCAGTTTGGAGGAGTCTTTTAGGAAAACACAACTGTTTAATTGGTGAGAAAAAAAATCATCTTAAATACAGGCGGCTGTTTGACTACAAACTGACTGCCGCTTACCAGGAGACGCACGGTGTGCAGTGCTTACCTAACAGGATTCCTGGCGGCATCTGGATCCTGAGCTGAGACCGAGCCTATGGTCGTGTTAACTTGAGCGTCTTCTCTCACTTGCACAATGTAGGCCAGTTTGCTGAAGACCGGAGGCTCGTCTACGTCCTCCACTATGATTCTGACTGTGGCCGAGTCTTTGAATGGACCCAGGTAGAGAAACCGGGGCTCCACGTGAGGATTGGAGGCTTCCACCTTGAGAGTGTACACTTTCTGCTTTTCGAAGTCTAGGAGCTTGGGAGAGGAAAGTGACATGATTACAGTGGCCGACTCGCAGAAAGCCAAGACACCAGCCACGCTCAGTGCAGATCACTGATCAGTGAATCGCGATTGTATTGCTTAGGAAAATCTACTACATGAATGAGGTATTAGGCGAAGGTGGGAAAGACAAGGAGTGATGTTGTCCCCACACCTTGACCACTAAGGAGGGAAACTCACAGTCTGTGAAAGAGTTCAGACACCACATGATCCTGATGAAAGTGGGCCTGAAACCAAACCTGCCGTTGACTTAACAGTGGGAGCCAAGGTACAAGATATGACACCGGGCAGAAAGGGGAACAGGGAGCAGGAGTTTGTCACAGTTGCTCCGACTCTTCTAACAAATCCTTATATGAGGGTGCTTACAAAAGTTCATGGAAAATGGAATTAAAAGATACATTTATTTTGGTGTAAAAATTTTAAGAGGCATGCATTTTTTGATCCTATGCATTTTCTATGAATTTTTGGAAGACCCTCATATTTGACTAGGGGGAAGTCACCAGGGCTACATGGTAGATATGCAGATCATTCCAGGTCAGATGTTTTGACGTTTGACTGAAGTTGCACCTAACGAGTGTTTAAACCTGCCCCACCCTGGACGATTAACCCATCTCTGAGATGGAGGCGACAATCTTACCCTAAGAACTACCCTGAGTGATTCTTCTAAGTTGCAGCCAGAACTGTGAGCCACAGCTTTACATAATGATTTCCTCCTCTTCACGCCCACAAAATAAAGTTCTTGGGGCCGGCGCTGTGGCATAGCTGGTAAAGCCACTGCCCGCAGTGCCGGCATTACATATGGGCGCCGGTTCCAGTCCTGCCTGCTCCACTTCCAATCCAGCTCTCTGCTATGGCCTGGGGAAGCAATAGAGGATGGCCCAAGTGCTTGGGCCCCTGCACCCATGTGGGAGACCTGGAGGAAGCTCCTGGCTCCTGGCTTCGGATCTGCACAGCTCTGGCCATTGCAGCCCTCTGGGGGAGTGAACCAGTGGATAGAAGACTCTCTCTCTCTCTCTCTCTCTTTCCCTCTCCCTCTCTCCCTCTCTCTCCCTCTCTGTAACTCTCCCTTTTGAATAAATAAATATTTAAAACCAAACAAAAAAAAAGAAAACCAAAATAAATTTCTTTTTACATAGGGTAATACAGTGTTCCAAATGATACCCTGATAGGGGCGTGGGCTAGTTATTTACTAGAGAAAGTAATGATCACTGCTGTGGACACCGTTTAGGAAATCTACGTCTGTTTTGTGGAGCTACAGTGAACTGAATGCTTCTCGATAACTTGGAGTTTCATGTGGTAACGTGACAAGGCTCACTGGAAACACAGTTCATCAAGATGTTAGTGAGTGTGATTTAGTCAGCAAGGCAAAATTTCAGTTTGAATCTAATAAGGTCCCAAGAAAATTAAAAAGGTTAAAGCACACTAATGGGCTCTTAATTACATTTTCGTACAAAACACTGGTCTGAGTGTCACTTAAACATGCTTTATTGTGTTTCCAGATACTAAGATGTGTAATCCAAAGCTTAATGGGAATTTTTTCTTGGTTTTTACATCTACTTATGCTTATATTTACTCGAACACATGATAGTGTTAAAGGAGAGAGATGGACAGCATACATTATAAAAGTAAGATCAGAAAAAAATATTAGTATTATTCTGAAGCTTGATGCACACTATTGTAATTTTTGCCACAGTTTTTGTATATTGCTCTGTGGTGCTGGTTGATTTTGGAGGTAAAATAACAGCTGATTCCTTTGAGAGAAAATATCAATTCAGATCATAAAAGCTGAATTATTGTTGTCTTCCAGTTAGTAGCTAAAGGGGTTGCAGTAAATATCTGCTGCTGAATTTAAATTTGTGGTCATTCTAGGTCTTGTTCGGGCCATCTTGATCATGGCTTGCACTGCTCTTCCTTCAGAGCTTGTGTCACACTTGCAGTTGGACATTTGTTTATTTGTCAACCTGCTCCTTAGTCTCTTCCCCCCTGGCTTTGAAGACCCGTGGGAGCACAGACCATCTGCTATAGGTACTGTTGTGCCGCCAGCACCCAGATCAATGTCTGGCACTGTGTGTTTATTCATTGTTCACTTATATTACTTAGCTTATGCATTCTTATGTATCTGTGTATATATAAATATATATATATATCATTTGGTTACATTATTCATTTACTTAGGAGGTTGTTCATAAAATTTTATTGAAAGTATGAAGTTAATAAATGCATAAAATTACTGTAGACCACAAAAGCCAACCCCAGATAGCTCAGTGTAATTGAATCAGTGTTTTTAAGAGAGTAGCTAGTAAAATGAGAATCTCAAGGGATGTCATTGCCCCTGGTAACTTGGGAACCAGAGGGAAGTAAACATATTTACTCGTGTGAGATTTAAGAGCTGACATTACCTTTTTGACTGTTATGATCCCTTCCTGGGTTTCCTGGTCAGTGATGACATCAAACATGTCGAGGCCCTCGCCGTCGGTGATGCTGTACTCAATCTCAGCGTTCTCCCCCATGTCGGCATCACTCGCTTTGATCCTGCCGATGGGTGTGCCCGGTGGAGAAGATTCAGGCGTTTTAAACTGGTAGGTGCCTGTGAATTACCAGACAGATATGAGTCCAGCACAGACCAAGTGTTCTATATCTGAATACAGCAGTAGCCCCTCGTCCTCAGGCTTTCATTCTAGGACCCCCAATAAATGCCTAAAGTTAGCTGGTACCCAATCCTCTACATAGTCTTCTGTTTTTTTCTATATAGACATGATAAAATTTAAGTTATAATTAGCCACAGTAAATGATTAACAACAGTAACTAGTATTAAAAATCATTATAATACAGCAATAAACTATAATAAAAGTTATTTAAAATTCATGAATTATTTCTTTCTGGATTTTTCTAATAGTTTTAGAGTGCTTGATCATGGGTAACTGGAACCTTGGAAAGTGAGGTTGTGGATAAGGGGGTGACAATTATAAAGACAAACCACATTTTCTAACAGTGTTTAAAAACATTACCATGGAGGCAGGCAGATTAGTGCTTTCTTCAAAATAATTAACCTATTCTCCTAAGTTTTTACTTTTTAAAAATATACTTTTTTGTGGCTGGCGCCCTGGCTCACTTGGCTAATCCTCCACCTGCGGCACCAGCACCCTAGGTTCTAGTCCCGGTTGGGGCGCCGGATTCTGTCCCGGTTGCTCCTCTTCCAGTCCAGCTCTCTGCTGTGGCCTGGGAAGGCAGTGGAGGATGGCCCAAGTGCTTGGGCCCTGCACACACATAGGAGACCAGGAGGAAGCACCTGGCTCCTGGCTTTGGATTGGTGCAGCGCCGGCCGCAGCGCGCCATCCTTAGCAGCCATTTGTGGGGTGAACCAACGGAAAAGGAAGATCTTTCTGTCTCTCTCTCTCTCTCACTGTCTACTCTGCCTGTCAAAAAATATATATACTTATTTGTTCATTTGAGAAGGCAGAGAAAGAGAGAGAGAGAGAGATCTCATATGTTGGTTCACTCCCCAAGTGGCTACAACAGCTGGGGTTGTGCCAGGCTGAAGCCAGGAGCCAAGGACCCCATCCAAGGTCTCCCATGTGGGTGGCAGGGACCCAACTACTTCAGTCATCACCCTTGTCTCCTAGGGTCTGTGTTAGCAAGAAGCTGGAGTCAGAAACAAGAGGCAGGAATCAAACCTAGGCACTCTGATATGGGCCATTGGTATCTTAACTTCTGTACAAATACCTACCCCCAAATCTTTTCCTACATGATTGTTAAGAATAACTCTATTTCATGACCTGTTTCCTAGCAAATGGAGAGCGCTTTTGTTATCCTGTAAACAGGCTTCCAAGTTTATGGCGTCATTGTCAGAATGACTGAACTGCTAGAGAAGGCTGCAGTTTCAAAGTCCCCTGTTAACATAGTGTTGCAGAAGGAAGCGAGTAGAATTTAACCTGAACTGCCACTTGAAGCCAATTACTAGGCATTCATTAAAAGAGTTCTTTCTGCCACTGCTAATAATAGCCAGAGGCAGAAATAAATTGCAGCACTTTGGAGAATGCACCCAAGAAAGACATTGTTTCACTCAGACACAGAGCTGGATCTAGCTGCAGAACTAGGGATATAGCTAAATACATCAGGTTATAAAGCTTTTAATTTATTTTTCTTTTACTTGCTCATTCTTTTAGACTTTATGACGGTATTTTTCTGTGCAAAGGTTTCCCTTATATGTAATTTGTATTAATATTAATAATTCAAAATCTGTAGTTTGTAGATAGATACTCATATATTCCTTGTTACAAAATTAGTTTAAGATGAAAAAAAGTGAATTTTAGTTAAGACCTAGCAGGCCAGTGTGTGCTTATAACCCTAAAAAGTAAAAAAAAAAACAAAAAAAAAAAAAAAAAACTTGATCTACTCTTCTCTGTTAAATTTTGCCAACCATTCATACAAATGGTTTTGGAAAAAACTTAAACTGTGACACCACTGAAGAATATGCCGTCAATGCTCATTCCCTGAGCATTATGCTGATCCTTGGCAAAATAATCCAACAGGCTAGGTCCTTCTCTGCGTGTCCAGCTTCCCTCTTTCAGGGCCATCTGCTCCTTTCCCTCTTCTCCCCTCCCCTGCCTCGGCACCTTGTCCGGTAACAAGTCACAGGCTAAGGGAAGCATAGGGTGAGTTACAGATCCACGTGGTACCACGTTGATGGTGAGTCCTGGCGCTGTCCTCCCCAGGCTATCTCCACATTGTAAAGGAGGTTTGTGGCAACGTATTTCTGATTTTGTTATTTCAGGCCTCTGTGGCGGAAATTTTAGGGCTCAGGCAACCTTTCTTCTACCCGTTCCATAGAAAGTAGTGGTGATTCTGTTTTTGTGAGAAACTAACCGGGACTAGGTCCAGGACAAACATGAAAGGAAACTGTTTCTACTTCATGCATGCATACCTCCATTCTAAAGGAGACTGGCGGTAGCCGGCCACCTTGTAGAGAGGCTGGGATACGGTGAGGGGGTTTCTATTTAATGACTGCAATAACTTTTTTAGGAGATCATGATCAGAAAGGAATTTTGTTCCTGGTGGAAAAACCTACATTAAAACTAGTTCCCACGTGGGCAGCGCTTTGTGAGAGTCTAAGGCGCTGTTTGATAGCAGAGTCTTTATTCACGCACAGTGTTTTTTCTTCCTCTCTAATCATGAGCGTTAATGATTTTAAAGATGATTTTCAGCATCTCAGCCATAATGTAGAAAATGATTTATGATTACAAATGGATTAAGGACATAGTTGCTTCCACAGTTGTATTTTTAGAAATAGTAACGTGATAAATCCTCCCCTTACAAAGCTTTGTGAGGATTTAAGAGATTACATGCCTGATTAAGTTCACAAAATATAAAGCCAAATTTTTCCTAACAAATAGCAGCATGCTTGTATACGTATGTTTTGCACAAGCAAATTTATGTCTGTGGTAGTCTTTTTAATAAGAAAAAATAGAACAATGATGCTGCTTTTAAACAATGGCCATATCAAAAATCGCTCAGCCAATTACCAATAGAACATAAATGTTCACATTTTCTGGTGTAAGCAGTGTTGTCAAGTCATTTTTAATAAAAGTGCCAGGTCTTACTAATAAGTCCACGAATTTTGACAATAACAATGACAATGGAAAATCAATATTCTTTTAGAAGTAGAGTTTTACAGAAGTGCATTGAAGAGACCCATTCGATCAAATGTTCTTACTCTGGGGGAAGCGAGGAGGGTTATCATTGACGTCAGTCAGCGTGATGTTCACTGTGGTGGTCCCCGATAAGCCTCCCATTTGGCCACCCATGTCCTTGGCCTGGATGACCACTTGGTATTGCTCCCTGTTTTCTCGATCCATGTTGAGCAACGCTGTCTTGATGATACCTTTGGAAGTGAAATTTAAGAGTGGAGGAGGATACATTAAGAATACTTTATGGAATCATTTATTTATGCAAACAAACAGAATGTCACTCACGATATGCACAATGCTGCAGATGTCATGATGATATAAAGATGTTTATGTGCAGCCTTTACATTGAAGGATATTACAACCCCATAGGGGAGATAGATACTTTTTTTAAAAAATCCTATATTACAAGGAGAATGAGAATAAGTACAGTGGAACCCTGCAACAGAATATATTGTATATAGTATAAATATTAAGAGTTACACCAATAACAGCAGAATATAACTTGGCACATGATATAAGGATATCTTGTGGTAACTGTTAGATAAAAGACATTTAGGTGCATTATGAGGAAATTGGTTAAGAAAACAATATCCTCAAATTGACTCTGGAGTTTCAGATTACTGATCTGGTTGATTGCTTCTGAAATATACCTACTATAATGAATGTTCTGAGGATTTTCTAAGCCACAAAACTATGGTTTTAAGAAAACACGGTATCAGTTCTGTCACTGTTATCTCTTGTCTGAACCTAGAGAATTTAGGCTTTCCTGAAGCTGATGTGAACATTAGTTTAACGGGTCCCAACAGGAAGCAACATTTTAAAGTTAGGTTAAATTTATCTCTATTGTTAAGTAGCTACAAAAGAATGAGCTGAAAGAAATTCTGAAAGTTCTCCTAAATTCCACGTAAGGTTTATGCTTAAATTAACTCTAAAAAAATCGCACATTGCAGTGCTTTACAACTAATGAAGCTGAAAATACCTTCTTTTGCCTTTAACGAGAATACTTTTAGACAACAGGTCAATTTTATTCCTATGGTCATGACTTCAGTGAGAGTGCTGCTGCTTTCTCTTCTCCAAATAATACTACTTCTCTGTAGTGAAATACAGATCACCTTAGCATTTTGTCCTTTAAGTTGAACAATTCTAATCTTTCATCTTCATGGTTTTTCAATGCAACATTTTTTTTTCTCTTTGGCATTCTTTCCAAGTTCACTGCATTCCTTAACACACAGGTTTCTAACTGGTTTTCATAATCTAGGAAGGTTTTGATTTGTAATAGTAATGAATGCTTGAACATGTAGCCAAAGTATGGGTAGGGTTTACTGTAAAATACAAATATTATTTACTAAAAAATAAATCCTAAGATAGTATGCTACTTAATGGGGAAAACAGAAAATTAGTTCGTGCTAAAATAATTCCTGAAGGCAATCTGCTTTGATTAGGGCTGCATCAGTTAGGATAGGCTAGACAATGGTGTGATAACAAAAAATGCAAAATCTCAGTGGCATAACACAGCTCAAATTTATTTTTTGCTCATGCTCTGAGCAGGCAAGCAGGGAGCTCTGCTCATGATAACAGGCAGACAAGACATCCAGGTTGGGGATTCCATCTCTCTCTCTCTCTTTTTTTTTTTTTTTTTTTTTTTGGATAGGAAGTGGAGTAGCTGGGTCTCGAGCCAGTGCCCATGTGGGATGCTGGCACTTCAGGCCAGGGTGTTAACCCGCTGCACCACAGCACCAGCCCCTGTGGGGATTCCATCTCAACAGTGGTTTTCATTATCAGTTTGGCCAGCAATTATGCAAGGCTGTGCACCATCTCTAGAAGTTTTTCTTGGAGGTTTGGAGGTAACTTGTATCAGTTTCACATTTTATTTGCTCAGATAATTCACATAGCTTTGTCTAGTGGAATAGGACCTGCAGTCCTACCAAGAAACTAGCACAAGAGGACTCTAAATATCTGTAGGCAGTCCAAATAACTATCAGAAAGAACTAATCTTTTAGATTCACCCCAAATGACGGAATAAGAAAGCAATGTATAATTTTTCTGAACCCACCCTAAAGAAATATGGTGAATGAAAGAATCATTGCCAGATTTCGTGATTAAAATGATTGAATCATCATGTTTACAAATACATCATTGCTGTTTGACAGATGAATCAGATAATTCAGTCATACATTATTTTTACTAAAAATATGCTAGCTCAGCTGAGCATGTCGATTAAAATTAAAATTACAGATTGTAAAAAAGATCAAGAAGGAATTCCCACCTGTTTCTGATTCCACTGAAAAATAGGGCTGTCCCTGTAGGATGCTATAGACAACTTTAGCACTGTTCCCATATGTTGGATCATCAGCATCAGTAGCAGTGACCTGGACAACAAATGTGCCTGCAATGATAGAAACATAAATTGAAACAAATTAAGGGCCCATTTTGATCCTTGATACACACACATGAAAAGGAAGCATGATCTTAAGTTTGTCCAAAATTATCACATCAAGGGAATGAAGAATGGGACTAGGATGCCAGGTTAAAAATCCTTGGATCCTTCACTTTGAAATAGTGTAATCATAACATTTGTAAATACCGTAAGGCTTAGGCTGAAGAAAAACGTGGCAGTGAGCATGACTTTGGATGGGACTGATTTCAACCCACCTCCCACAGTGGGATTTGGCTGGACCTTGCCGTAGTGACTCTTTCAAATTATTTAGACTAAGTCCATTAGAATCTTGCATTATTTTGTCCATAGGAAATAGTTTAGGAGTTGTCCAGATAAGAGCCAGACATGAATTTTCTGGAAATTCTATGCTATTGCCATTCTTTCTCTTGGACTCGAATGTGCTGATGTGAAGCCACAAATGCAGAAACTATTTTGTGATCTGAGAAATACCAGCCAGAGAACAAGGCTGAATAAGATAGAAAATGACAGAGAAACAGCTAGAATCAGGTCAAATCATGTCCCAAGCCCACTTTCCTTTGGGACTTAAGTAATAAATAATCAAATACTTACACTATTTAAATCAGTTTGAGTTTGATTTCCTCTTACTTGCTAATAAAAGCATCCTAAATGAGAAATGTATCTGATAATTCTAAAAAGTAGAAGACTTTGAGCTTGTAAGGAGAGTGTTGGAGTAAATAAAAATTAATTGGAACAGCAGTGCTTAAACGTGGAAGCTGTAAGATGATTATAATTATATACACAGAGAAGGCTATATTGCATTTTAGATCAGCTGATGTTAGGAACTAAAGTTGCTTAATAACCATCAATATATCGTTAAGTTCCCTGAAATTCCATGGGAATTTTCATGTGCATGCTTTTATGTCCATTCCTTTGAAGAGAAGGTCCCCAGATTTTATCTGATTCCCACTAGGGTCTGTGACTTCCCAGAAGGAAAAAGCCCAGGGCCTGCATTGTGGAGTAATGGGTAAAACTGCTGCCTGCAATGCCTGCATCCCATATGGGTGCTGGTTTGTGTCTCAGCTGCTCCACTTCTAATACAACTTCCTACTAATGCCCTGGGAAAAGCAGTGGAAGATGGCCCAAGTGTTTGGGCTCCTGATATCTGTGTGAGAGACCTGGAAGAAACTCGTGGCTCCTAGCTTTGGAATGGCCCAGCCCTGGCTGTTGTGGCCATATGGGGAGTGAACCAGCAAATGGAAGATCTCTCTCCATTTCTCCCTCTCTCTCTCTATCTCTGACTTCCAAATAAATAAATACATTTTTTTTTAAAAAAGGAGAAGGACCTTTGATTAAGGTCATTTTATAGCTGAGTTTTAATATTATAAGCCTGCTGCTGGGGTTCTCTTGTCTATGAAAAGGACAGGGAAGTTATTTCTAGGGAATATTGAAAATTTTACATTGTTTTTAGATTACTTAATCAATTTAATTCATTAAACAAATAGATTGTACTATGTCAGGGTTAGGTACTGTGGATGTGTCATGCTGATTGATGCATAAGACAGAGCACCTGCTCTTGTAATTTATCAAGGGAGGTAGGGAGAATGAGAGTATCATATGGAGAGCCAATAGAAGTCAGCAACACCCAAGTTCATTTGACATTAATATAAAGTTGGATTGCTTTGGAATATGATTCTGTAGACATTTTAATGCCTATTAGTTGCCAGATACTGTACGAGAGCTCTGCACCTATTTTCTCATCTATTCCTCATGGTAGCCCCTACAGGTGGGCGTTTGTTTTCTATTTTTCATAGATACAGAACTGGAGGATCAAAGACTCAAGGATCTGAGAAACCAAGTAATTTGCCCAAGGCTACATAGCTTGGTATGAGTAGGGTGCGTTTCACATTTAGGTCTGTTTGATACCAAAGTCCATTTTTACTCTCCTGGTGCTGTCCTACTGCTTTTAGGTAATTTCTTTAAGATGCCTACATATATTACAACAATGGCATGCTAATTTATGATGATGATGAATATTAACATCACCATGTCTTAGTACACATTGGAAAAGGGTTCTTCTTCCTCAAGATGTTACTGCCAGTTTTCCCCAAATATCTGCCACCCATAATTAATCCTATAATGACTTCAAAAGTGAATAGTAGCCCTAGAGTTGTACAGTGCACAATCTGCTCATCTGTTAACAGTTTCCCTGGGCAGTGCTAATGGCCACCCTAGCCTTATAAGTAAGAGAAAAAAATATTTTTTCCTAATAAATTTTCTTCTTTAAGAAATTTCACCCTCCCCCCTTTGTTTGATAAATGGCTTTTATTTTTCTAACAAAATGTAGTGGTTTCCAGTCATGAAAATAGCAGTTTCTTCATGATAAAAATTTAGATGTTTTACAGTCATTTCCATGGGTTGGGTATTTTCCAAGTCTTGCATCTGTGAGCTGGTATCTGAATGACAGAGTCGTAGATGTGTAATTTAAGTCCTGTTGACTTTGATGGAGTGAAAATACAAATACACAAGTTCTTTTATGTAAGTAGTTTAGAATTTGTTACAGCCTCCTATGAAGTATTTTCATGTGGCTAAGAGTGATGTTAATAGGATTGTAGGGTTGTTTCTCCTATTTTAAATCCTGTCTACCTTCTAACTTAAATCTATGCACAAAATTTAAAATTCATAGCAGATTTGTATGTGAAATATTAACTTGGCATATTAATGGCATGACAATGTTTCACTTTCCACCTACGTATTGTTTATGGATTCTTACAAAAAGGTTTTTTTAGTCTGTTTCTCAAATATACAGTTAATTAAAGTCACCATAACTACTCTTTTTATTTTTTAAAAAGTTGAGATTATTTATTTATTTGAAAGATAGATAAATAGATAGATAGATAGATAGATCGATCGATAGATAGGGAGAGAGATCTTCCATGAACTTGTTCACTCCTCAAATGCCCACAACAGCCAGGAAAAGGTGAAGCTAAAGCCAGAAGCCAGTAATTCCATCTAGATCTCCCACCTGGGCAGCAACAACTCAAGTTCATTTGCTGCCTCCCAGGTGCATTAGCAGGAAGCTGGACGTGAAGTGGAAGTATTATTCTATTCCAGGCACTCCAATATGGGATGTGGGTGTCTCAAGCAGCAGCCTAACCTCTATGCCACAGCATCTGACCCCCATCACTGTTTAGACTGGACTGCAAATGCATTCTTGTGTTTTTCCAGTGAGGAGGTACTCACTTTGAGCCTCATACCAGTGAGGGAAAAATGAGAGAAGCAGAGAGGGCCTCTGTCTCATATTGCAAGAAACAAAGATTTAGGGTGTGAGAGAAAATACTTTAAACAGGCTTCAACATCACCTGCTGTTTTTCATACCTGCATCATTAGAGAAAATGCTGTTGTGTTTAAAAAGTAACAAAATGAGACAGAACTAATATTAGGACGTATGGTGCACTTAATAAAGGACACCCGTAGGTTGTTTGAAATATGGTACCTTTGGAATTTAGCATTGAAACTCTTTCAACTCCTTAAGTTTGATCCTTAGGATTCTTTACTTAGGGGTTATGTGAAGAAGACCAGTTTTTGTTTGAAATCACGTCTCACTCACCGACATCAGACATTTCAGGGACAGTGGCCGTGTAAACCTCCTTGGTGAAAATTGGTTCATTGTCATTGATGTCATGGATCTTGATGATGAATTCAGACTCGGGCTCCACGGGCCTCCCAGTCTTTCTGTTGATAGCTTGAGCGCGGAGGATGTAAACGGGTTTTTCTTCCCTGTCCAGCCTCTTGGTGGCCTGTATGTCGCCTGTGTTTTCATTGATAATGAAGAGATCTCCTGCTCCATCTCCTGAAAGGATATATTTAAGTGATCCATCTCCTCTATCCTGGTCTGAATGTAACTAGTGTAGAAAAAAAAATTAAAGAAAGTAAAAGTCAAGCATGTGATCCTAAAACTGCTTTTGTCTTTACCATACATGCTAACTTTCATTCAATCCTTTGTAAGCCATTGTTTTTTCCCCCATCGTTTTCCTATTTACATAACCCCTCTGTTGCAAATGCCCTTCATTTATGAACACATTTCTTTATAAAATTCAAATGTTTCAGAACCAGAATAGAATTTGGGGGAAAATTAAGTAATTCTTTTTATTTTGAGGTACAAAAGATTAAAGATTACAGCAATTGCAACATGACCAAGGATATATTAGCCTGGTAGGAATGAAACTATTTTTATTTGTTTGACAGGGTGGTGGCGGGAGAATCTTCCATCTGTCCACAATAGCCCTAATCCAGGAGCCAGGATCTCCCTCTAGGTCTTCCACGTGGTTGGCGAGGACCCAGGTACTTGAGCCATCACCTGATGTGCATTAGCAGGAGGGTGTGCATGAGTAGGAAACTGGATGGGAATTGGAGGTGGGACTCAATTCTGGGCACTCTGCTATGGTAGATGGGCATCCTAAGTGGTGGCTTAACCTGCTGTGCCATAATGCCTACCCTTAATAGAACTATTTTTGTTACAGCTTTTAGATTATATTTACTAATATACTCTCCTCCTTACTTGTATATATGCAAACATATTATATAAGTGATATACTATTGCAAAAGGACTCCAATTTCAGTATCAGAGAGATCTGGATACACTCTTCTTTTACACTTCACGATCTTGGTGAATTTAGGGAATGTAGGAAATCTCCTTGGGTCTTTAGTGATAGAGATTATAATCCTTTTTCTGGGAAGATGTGATGTTTATTCATTTATGAAATTCAACTCAAAACATTTGAAAAACATTGTAAGTAAGTGCTTTTATGGACAGTGCCTCAAAAGCCAACTGACCAGATTATCCTCAAGGCCACTTGGAACAATAATATTTAACATTCAGATTGCAGCATGAGATAGGAAAGGATCTTCTAATAGTAAGAACCATCCTAAAATGGAAATGGTCACCTTATGAGGTAATGACTTCCCTGCTTTTGCAGGAAATGAATAGAAGCTCTGATGATTAACCCATTTTTTTTTCTGTCAGTGAAATGGGTCTGGATGAAGGATTGAAATAAATGAATACTAGGATCCCAGGGAAGAGGAAGATGATGATAGTAACTTGGACAAGAAGTCCATATTTTCTACATTAAAGGTTATTTTCACAGCATTGAGTTCTTGGTGCCTTAATTTCCCTTTTCCTACCCAGTAGAAACTCAGACACTATCTTACAGGTTTTCAGATCATCTGTTATCTATAATCTATTCAGAAGTTTTCAAAATGTGCTTTTTATTGAGGAAGACCACTCAAAAGTACAAGTCTGATATCAGTGACAGCAGACAAGTTAATTTAACTTGTTTCAGCTCCACCCGAACAGCAAGTGAGTTGTATCACAGCAGCAGGTAAACCGGCTCTGTGTCCCTTGCTTAGTACTGCATGAAATGCTCAGCGTAGTATCTGCAAATGATGCGGGCAGCTATGTAGCCAGTAAGCAGAGCGGAACTGAGGAACCGCCAGCACCCACGTTTTGTGCTCTCCAAACCTCACCTCCTTCTATGTCCAGCTTGACTTTAGGCTTGGCACACCCATTCCCCATCATGCCTCACTTCCCGTCATGCCTAAGACACCATGACACCTACCTAGAGATGACTCCCTGTGTGCTCCGGGAGACACACAGAAAGGCGCACAGAAGCAAGCAGTACTCAAGCCCCACCCAGACTCCACCCTTTTTGAAATTCAAGTAGGCGCTGCCCTGCCACCCAAACTCCTCTGAAAATAACTACCAAGACTCAACAGGGAAAGGGGGCTCGCATGATTATCTAACCCAGTCTTTCTAAAAGTGTATTTTCTGGAATGTCATTTGTACAGAATGCTGAGGAGAGTTCTGTGAGCCAATACGTTTGAAAATGCTTCATATCCTGCCTCTTTCTTGGAGTCACAGTTCATATATTAAAAAGGCTGTGAGTGCCAGCAGTTCAAAACTATACTTGACTTTGTTTAACATAGCTTTCTACAACTTTCTTATTTAAAGAATCCTTTCTGGGTGTGATCTACCTTGATATCTGCAATCTCTAGTTTTCCAAGAAATACACTTTGGAAAACATGAGCTAATTTAATCCATCCTTATAGAGTTGAAAAACCTGAGACTCCAGCTCATGTCATGTTATTGAAAATCACAGTTCATGTGAAGAGGCCAGAGGATTAGAATATGAAGACAAGTAGAGATGTTGCAGTGAGTTGGTGCCATTCCTGGTGTTTGGTGATAGAGGAATTGTGCCCAGTGCCACCCAGCTACAGCTAGTTAATTGCCAAGTTTGGGAAACAGACTATTATTCATACTGTTAGAAGTCTTGAAAGTAATTTGGCAGAAAAAATGGAAGATAAATGTGAATGGAGAGGAAATTGCTTAGAAGTGAGACCAATGCAGTAAGAAGCGTAAAACAAGAGCACTCCATGATTTGTGTAATGCGATATGCTTTGGAAACCACGATGACACACAAAGAGCCACCGGGGAAAGTTTAAGTCTCCCTTGTCAAATTCTAATGACTGAAGAGCACTCTTAAAAAGCTATTTCATTAACTCATGAGTAAAACAACTGATGTCACTGTCCTTCAGTTCTTTGCTTCCGGGCAGCCAGGGCCAGCAGCCTGGCATGGTGCAGGGGGCACCGCAACCCAGTCCTACTGGTCATGTTCTTTCTCTGTTACTCACCAAGTGCAAGGCCACAGCAGAGTCAATTAACCTCCGTGAGTCAGGATCCATACAAAGATAATAAGAGCTACAAGGCTGTTGTCAAGATCTAATTAGAGACCATGGACAAATACTACGTTAATCACCATGTAAACATGCAATAAAAGCACATTGTGTTTTATAAATCATAAGCATTTTCCAAATTAAAGATATGGCTACTGTCATTAGCTCTTGGTTCATAATCTGCCTGTTGTTGCTCTTGTTTTGACTTTGAGAACTTTGTTCTGAGGACTTTGAAAACCTAATTTTACATACACATGATATCTCGAAGGTAAAATCTGTTATCCAAAGCCAGTATTCGTCTACCTGGTGGCAAGTGCTGTCTTTACAGGTGATTTATTATATTCCGCATTGCACTAGATTATAGACTCTCCTTGGCTGGTTCTTTCATCACTTTCAATATGTAATTGTTGCACACTTAGTAGGTGAATACCACATCTGGTCACAAGATTTATTCAGGTAAAAGTAATCAGAAACTTATTTTTAGCTGTCAGCAGAGACCATTTGGATGACTTATAGAACAAACACCCAAGATGACAGAAAAGCACAGAGCAGGTGCCAAAAGAGTGTAAACAGCGACTGTGTTGAAGATCACGATTCTGATTTATCAATATTTGAAAACTAGTGGGAAAATGCATTGCTCCACTCAGGCACTGTCTGATACTAAAATAGTTTAACCTGCTCTCCCCCTGCTCCCCGCAGAGTACATTTTCTGGGTCTGACAGTGCACAGGGCAGAAACCACCATGTGTCTCTTTGAATTTTTCCCCCAAATCCCCTTGTCTTCCCACGAATCCCCCTGGGGCCGGCTCTTTTCTTTATTCTTGGGGAAAAGAGGAAACATAAGACACCAGTGCCCGTGAAAGTAATGATGACAACCAGACATTAGGGGTTTATTGAGCACTTAGATTTTAATTGGATTTTTTCCTTTTGTGATGTCATTCGTCATGGCCACTGTAAAAGACAGAAGTTAAACAACAACAAATAAAAGGTTGGCGGCTGCCCGAGGCACGCTTTTGCTAATTTCAGTTTAATGTGACTGTTCCATTAAGTTTAATCATCTGGTTCACTTCTAACGATTCACTATCAAGTAGAAATTAAGCACTTTGCTCAGAAAGTCAGCCTATCACCTGTGGCTCACAGGGTTTTTACTTTTTTTTGTTTGTTTTTGTTTTTCTGCTCCTGTACCTGAAGAATTTTGTGCCAGAAGGAGCTCTTAGTCCCTGTTTTCTTCCTATGATAGCTTTTTTTTTTTTTTTTAAAATAAAAGATTCAGCATTGGTGAATAAACACATGCATGTGTGATTGCAGACACTGCCCAATGGAGGGCAGCAGCTAGTGGCAGCAGCATCTTTGCCTGCTGGGTGCTGTGCCTTCCTGGGGACAAAGTATCCTTCTACCTGGTACACGCACCTGGTACAACACCAATTTTACAGACTTTTAGTGGTCTATGAAGCCAGCTAATGCTGTCCTATTACTACTCACCAAGTCACTATCTGGCTCAGGGACCATTAGTCTAAATGAAAACTACCCTAAATAGCACACACAGGCAACGTATGTACAGCCTGACGGGGCTTAGGGAAGCAGTATGGACATGGGAAGCAATGACACCTTCCTGGAGATCTCCACATGTATTAAAGTCCTGCACAAACTCTGCCTCCCTTGAATATTCAATTAGGGCACTACCCCCTACCCTCCCTCTACCCCTAGCTCCCCACATTTACATCTGAATGTTTTCCATTCCTTCAGAAAATCTTTCCTCCCAATACCTCTATCTATGGCTCTGGTTTGAATTCTTTTCTCACGGTAGACAAGAACTTGGAATAAACCTAGCTGGGGATGCTGTTCCCCACAACAGTACGTGATGCTTGGCCAAAACGAATAATGGAATTAAAGTTAATATATTTGCAGAGTATACTACCAATGTAATGCGGACTTTAAGAAATGTCATGGTTGTGAATCTAATATGTCACAGGGAAATCAGAGAAGAGTTGTGGGGAAAAGATGCTGTGTGGCAGTGCAGTAAACAAAGTTGTGAAAGTGGGGGGACAGCTTTGTGTTAAATCAGATGAATATTATTTTGTTAGGAAAATATAACTGTGATCAAGTTATGCCAAATTGAGGCTTAACGGAATTTAGTGTATATATATATTACAGATAGTTTGCATATATATGCA